AAGCATCTGGGGTCTGAGCTTCTTGAACTTATACAATAGGTATTATATGACGTTGAGAACACCATGATAATCTAGTTTGTTTGTGTGTTCTGTCTAACCCAGGTTGAATGATGTTATTTTGCAATGAAAAAGTGAGATTTAGTACTGTTCATTTATAAGAAGTGTATTTTATTTTTTAATGCTTCTATTTTATTAAAAAACACTGAGGATAGACTTTATGTATACTAAATTTCACACTCTGCTCAAATGATTGACATTTTCATCAGTGAAAATTGTGGACTTTTAAGAATATCCTTTTCAAGATTAAATCCAGTAAAAATAATTCCATGAAATTAAGCCACTGTAATCTTCTGTGGCAAGATATGCATTTTCTCTGGGCTCTATGTTATTTGGGGAAATCATGTTGGAGTTTAGACTAGATTTTAGACAAGGAAGTAAGAGAGGGTAGCTGTTTTATTTTGTTAGCTCTTTGAATAAAAAAATATTTATGGTAATATGCAAAATTTATTATTTGGTTAAATCCCTAAACTCTTATTTTCCTTTAATTTGAAAAAAATCAACCCTTTGTCAGTATGCAGATTCTCTTGAATAGTCTCCCCCACATGCGGTATGAACTCTGTTACTGGTTCACTGTGTAACATGTTCAAAAACTGAGAGTAAGCATTCAGAAACTTCTACAGAAATTTAACAGAGTAGTTTCATGTGTGTGATCTATTAGTTTAAAAAAAGATTGTATTTTGTATGACATTTAAATTTTATCTTCTATGTATTTCATTTTAATTATATTTTACAAAAATATGGCCCACAGTGGGTTGGAGGAAAGAGGAAAAAAATACTGGTTTATCTGCACAGAAAATGTGAGAAGCCCTACCCTGCATGACTGTGAAAATGCTAAACCTGAAATGGTCCTTGAGTTTAGGTCTGAAATAAAGCATTACTTTCAGGATAGAAGAAAGCAGAAATTCCATGAAAACGCCCCCCTTCAACCCTGAGTTGGCTGATATATAATTACAAATAAAAGATCTGCAGTACAAGGTTTTGATCTGTACCTTGGGAAATAGGCAAGACAAAAAATTACTCAACAGCTCTCCCATCTGCAATTTTATGTGAACAAATTAGTTGCTTGATCACATTTTCGATTTTAGCAACACTTGAATAGAACTTGCTAGAGTTGGGGATGACATGTTGAGGCAGTGAACAGGTTTTACTAATTATTTTTTACAACTGCATTTTACTAATAACTCATAAAACTGCAATCTATTTATATTTATAAATGGCTTTTAAAAACTTAGCTTTTAATGAGTCATAATATTAGTTTAAGAATATGATATATTATTTAAACTTGATTGGTAACTTTAAATAATTTAACTTTCATTTGTTTATTCAGATAATTTGCCATCATGATTCTTTTACTGGGCACACAGATAAGAATTGCACCTGATTTCTTATTAGAAATTAAAATGCCTGGTAACTTCTAAAATGGACCAATAAGGAAGTAGAAATGAAGGTATCAAATTAATGGTCATCACATAGTTTGCTCTTTATTAAGGTAACAAAAAAGATCTTGGGTCTTAAAAGGAGCTCCCTTAGCTCATATTGTTTTGATTTTTTTTCCTATCTTTTACATAAAATCTTCTCAAAATCCATGACCATATCACCTATTTTTGAATTTTTCTTTTCACAGTAGTATGTATGAGAGTGTGATTTACTAAATGAATGAAAGTGAGAAAGTCTTAACTAAGAATATACAGTTTATAGGGAAATATATCTTTATGAAATTAAAAACTGCAAGGGCATATGTGTGTGCTAATGTGTGTGTATAGCAAAAATGGCCTGAAAGTTAATTTTACTTTTTTTTTTTTTTAATTTTCCTATTAGGTATTTCTTGTTAGAAAGAAGACTGGCCCTGATGCTGGGCAACTCTATGCAATGAAGGTGTTAAAAAAAGCCTCTTTAAAAGGTAGAAAACTAGAAAGCTTATTAAGATAGAATTTGGTAAGGCTTGTTTTAAGAAATATGCTGTGTATTGCTTATATAAGTTGAGTAGATTTAGTTTTCTTTTTGCTTTTTGCTTTTTTAAATTAAACTTATTGGGGTGACATTGGTTAATAAACTTATATAGGTTTCAAGTGTACAGTTCTATGATACATCATCTTCATATTGTATTGTATGCCCACAACCCAAAATCAGATCTTCTTTAGTTACCGTGTATTTGACCCCATTACTCTTTCCTGTGCCCCCACCCTTCCCTCTGGTAGCCAACATACTATTGTCCATGTCTATGAGTTTTTGTTTTTAATATTTGTTCATTTGTTACTTTCGATTTTATATCCCACATATGACTGAAATGATATGGTTCTTGACTTTTTTTGTCTTAGTTTTTTAAATTTTTTATTTAGTACATTACAGTTTCCTAGCTGGGAATTGGTATTTCTAGGGTTTACATTTGCATATGTCCTAATTTAGTAAATATAGACCATGATAAAAATTTAATGGTATTAAAAGTGACACATTTAATAAAAAAACCTTATTTTATTAAGCTATATTCTTTTATTTGTTGTTTTTTTTTTGTTCCATCTGTGTTGATATTATGTATTGAGAATGCACAACTGCTTGCTTACACTTATATACACCGTCTTCTAGGCTTTGATCAGAAAGCACTATGCTCAGTTTTAATCAGTAAACTCATTTGAACAATTAAGGACTAATACATAATAAATGCATATTAGCCAAATACCTGTTATGTCACTTTATCTCATCTTGTTATGTAAACTGAATTTATTTGTTTTTTGAGTATATGGTAATTACTGTTTAGGAATGTATAGACTGCAAATTTAGGCACTTATAAAGTTATATTTTATATTTTTATATTTTTGTTTTATGAATTTTTGATGGGATCCCTATGGAAATTATATACAATAGTAATATATTCTAACCTTTTGTAATTTTTAGTTCGAGACAGAGTTCGGACAAAGATGGAGAGGGATATACTGGTGGAAGTAAATCATCCATTTATTGTCAAATTGCATTATGGTACGTAATCTGCAGAAAGCACTAGATGTAATCATTTTGAATTGTATGCACTGTTATATCAAGGAGTTAGATATCTTGCATCGATGCTCTCTTCTGTGTTTAGGTATCCTATGACACTCTTGCTGTGAAATTGAAGTGCATGTAGAAAAAAATGTTTACTATATGAAACTTTACAACACTTGTGACAATTCAGTTTGGTTTATGCACAGAGTACTATTTCTCCAGTTATCATCCAAAATTCCCTACAGACAAGGCTTTTGTCCTCCTTAGGTGTTGACCTCAGCCTAACATTTCGGACTGTTCTATTAAATTCTTGCCAGGATATTGTATCTGGTTACCTCCAATTTCTAGAACGCATTCTCTACTAATGTTATTGAAACCAATTTCTACTTCATGCACATGTTATTTGCAACAGCAATTAAAGTTTTTCTTCCACGAGTTGAGTCCTCTTAAGAAAGTGATTGCAATTAACCATTTTGTGTATTACTATTTTAACATTATTGCTTCCTGAGCTTCCATTCCTTTAATTGATTTTGTTCCTTACCATGGTGTTTTCCCTCCCAATAAAGCAATGCACTGTTACACTGTGGGTTTATACTAATCTTATACCCCAAAGGGGGAAAGGGAGTGGAGCCTAGACTTAATTTTCTTTTAAGGTCAAGGGGTCTGGCTTTTTTTAAATTTGCATTGGCTCTTTTAGAAGATAGTGATGAGAATAAACTTCTAGTGTTGATTAGCAAGGAAAATGCATAGACTGATATTAGAATATACTAGCAGAACTATTTGGGAACTGTGCCATTCTGTGTTCTTCAGTAAATAAGATTAGTTTCTCATGAGTACCTTGTCTTTACTAACTTGCTAATTAGTAGTATAATACTTTTTATCACTAAATGTATTAGCAAGGAGATTTCAGATAAAGGTTGTGCTGGATTCAGTAAGTCAAATCAGATCATTCACCTTACTTTTTATTTTAGCATCCATTTCCACTAATTTCCATTAATAATATACCATAAACTTTAGATAAAAGTAGTATCAGTGTCTTTGTCATCTTGTGACTTGAAATCCTGTGACTTGATGATGCATGTACTAGTGTTCTGACTTTATGTGTTCCTCTTATTGGTGGTGTTTCTTTTACCATGGTTTCAGAAGATCAAGTGAATGAGAACTGTTCAGGTTATTCAGACATACACAGTGAAGCAGAATGCTATCCATAAAGCATAACAAACATAATTCCAAAATGGTCAGTGGGAAATGACTAGAAATATGGCTTTCAAGAGTTGGCATTTTTAGCTATATTTGCAAATACTGTGAGATTTAAGCAGCCTAGAAAATGGCAAAGTTGACTAAATTTTGTATTCTTGTCCTCTTTTTATTTTTTATTTTTTCTGGCTTAATGCAGTGATGTTTTTGTTCCTTCCATATTTATAAACAATTTTTTTTTTTTTTAGTGTTTCTAAACATAAAATCTACTTGGTTTGAAATCAAGTGATTGGAACACTTTTGAATTATGTATTAAGCATGTTCTTGATTCAGAATTTCATTGAAAAAGCTTTCGATCAATAGATCAGTTTGACAATAGATTAGCACACAGTCCCTAATATTTTGGTGCTGTTTTGAGAACCAAAGCTCATAGTAGATTTTGTTCTTGAACAGTTTCCCAGTAGATTTGAAGACATGTGTTGGCTTGAGGTCTATTTTTTTCTAATAGATTTGAGATTTCTATCTAATGTTAGATAACCTCACATATTTGTATGAAACAAAACCTAGAAAAATGAAAACTTGAGTAATTTAAATTAATCCTAGTATGTTATTATAGAGAGAACTTTTGGTGCCATAATTTCTCTCTTCATGATGGTGTTGAACTTAAAAGTATTGAAATGCATTTCTGTACCACAATTTAAGCTTCAATAAAGATTTGCTTAGTTGATTGTCTAGAGACTGAACAAAGATTTCCTTTTGGACAATAATATAACAAGAAATAAATGCTCCAAACTAATTTAATAAATTCAACTATATGAAAAGTACTTATCTGAAGAAGAATCAATATCTAACTTCTAGTTATATTCCTTATATTTGTTGATTAACTTGTCTAAGGTAACAAGATAGTGTCTTCTGATTATTTGTCTGGTAATATTTTTATACCCTACTAGGCTTTACCTCAAATTATATTAGTCTATAAAATACTGTGGTAATTTATTCAAAACATTCTGGTGTTTGGCTGTGCTCCTCTTACAGGTTCATAATGAGAATATTTATCTTATTTCTTGGTTCTATTTAAGAAAATCATGTAGTTTTATTAGTCTATTTGAGTTATTCTTTCTTATATTTAGGGGAGAAGAATAGTAGTGAGAAGTAGTAAGTATTCTAGAAAGAACATGAATTTGAAGTCATAGAGTTCTGAGATTGAATCATGGCTCCATTGCTAATATAATGTGTGCATGATATTGTTGAGTTTGGCTTCCCTGGGAAGTTCAAAGGTGTATACATCATTAAATCACTGATATAGACTACTATGTCACTTTCAATTTTTGAAATTTTAAAGAAGTATCAGCTATTGATTTTATTCTTAGGCAATGTTGACAAATAATATATTAAAATATATATCCAATTATATTTACAAAAAACCTTCAAGAAATTGCCACTCATTATTATTTAACTTCTTGTTACTCCAATGGAATGAAAATGGTAGTATCTAAAGACTTCCTTGAATCTCCAGGATGTCATTAGTTTAATCAGTAAATACCAATTGTGTGCAAAACACTGTATTAAATGTAGTGAGCTCTAAAGCAGAAACAATCTCTGCTCTCAACAAATTTATAGTCTGTAAAGAATACAGACATGTAAACAAAGTAATTATACAGCTCAAATGCAGTAAGTACCATAAGGGAGACATAAGTAAAGTACAATTCAATCTCAAAAGTAGTAGCAAGTAATGCTGACGAGGAAGAGAGTAAGGATCCTGTAGGGAAATGTGATAAGGTGGAAATCTTTAATAGAGGAAAGCTTAATAGAGTGAGAAGGTGGCATTTTGGTTGAGCTTGAAAAAATTCATAGATTTTCAATAGGTGGGGATACAGAGTTCAGGCAATAGTAATATAACATGATCTCAATAAATCAGGAAAATGAGGGTGGTAGAAGCTTCTGTGTAAAGTCATATGCAAGGCTGATTAAGTTCTGGGAAGGGTTTTATAGGTATTTCAACACCAGATTTAATTTTCATATAATGTGATCCAATAATGGACCATGTGAGTAAATGCTTAATTGCTATATAGTGTTTATTAATAAAATTTTAAACATACATTAATTTTAAAGTATACTAAGCTTTTTAAGCCTTTAAAATTGTTATGTTACTATATTCTATTTTTAATTAGCCTTTCAGACTGAAGGGAAACTTTATTTAATACTGGATTTTCTCAGAGGAGGAGATGTCTTCACAAGATTATCCAAAGAGGTATCTGTTTGTAAATCTTTACTATATTTTCTTGAAATAAAAGTAAGAAAAATCATTTTTGTTTCTTTTTCCTATAGAAATTTTAAATGATGATTATTCTGTTTGTTTCATTGCATAACATTTAGTGGATATGCCAATTAATAGCATTCTCTGTCTGCCTGTCATTTAGATTTCAATGTGCTATTTATTCTCCTAGGCACAGGATCAATTTAAATAACTGGATGAAGCATATAAGGGCAAGCCTAGGTCTTTGACTACATAAGCTACCAAGGTGCTTCTGGGAGCAATGTGTAATTTTTTATGTTTAAAACAGTTTTATGGTGGTATAAATGGCATACAATAGACTGCATATATTACAGCACACACTTTCATAAATTTTGACATTTGTATATGCCTGTTTAACCATCATCACAATAAAAATAATTAGCTTCTCCATCATCCCAACAGCTTTCTTGTTCCCCTTTGTAAAGCTTCCATCCTGTCCCACCCCTCCTGAATTTACTTTCTGTCACTGGTCTGTATTTTCTAGGACATTATATAAATGGAATTCTATAGTATGTATTTTTTGTCTGACTTATTTAGCTCAGCAGAATTATTTTGAGATTCGTTGTTACATGTACCGATAGATTATTCATTTTTATTGTTTAATAGTATTCCACTGTATGGATACACCACGGTTTGCTTATTCATTAACTTGTTGAGAGATGTTTGAGTTTGCAGTTTTGGGATATTATTAATAAAGCTACTAAAACATTCACATACAAATGATTGTATGGACATATATTTTTATTTTTCATGGTTAAATACCTAGAGTATAATGACTGAATTATGTATATATATATATTTTCATAGTTTACATTAGGGTTTATTCTTGGTGTTATAAATTTATGGGTTTGGAGAAATGTATGATGAAACGTATCTACCATTGTAGTATCATACAGAGTAGTTTCACTGTCCTAAAAGTCCTCCATGCTCGACTTATTCATCCCTCTTTCTCCTCAACAATGACTATGTTATATAGTAAGTGTATGTCTTAACTTATTTTAAAGACACTGTTAGACTGTTTTCCAAAGTGGTTATATAATTTTTACATTCCCACCAGCAGCATGTGAGAGTTTCAGTTGCTCCATATCCTTGCCAGCATTTGGTACTGTCAGTCTTGTTTTAATTTTAGACATCTCATAAGTGTGTACTGGTACCTTGTTGTGGTTTTGTATTTTATTAGACTAAAGACTAATGATGTTGATCATCTCTTCATGCACTTATTTGACATCTACATATTCTGTTCGATAAAATGTCTGTTTAAATCTTTGGCCCATTTTTTATTGGGTTGTTTCTTACTGAGTTTTGAGAGTCTTCATATATTTTGGATGGTAAGTCCTTTATCATATAGGTGTTTGCAAATATTTTCTTCTGGTCTATGGTTTGCCTTTTTATTTTCTTTAACAGTATCTTTCTAAAAGCAGAAGTTCTTGATTTTAATGAAGTCTTATTTATATACTTTTTGAATGAATAATGTTTCAGTGTCCTATTTAAGGGATATTTGCCTAATCCCAGGCCCAAAATGTTTTCTCCTGTTTTCTAGAGGTTTTGTAGTTTTAGGTTTTACATTTAAATTTATAATTCATTTTGAGTTCATTTTAATATATGGTGATAGGTATGTGTTGTAGTTGAAGTCCTTTTCTATACAAGGTGGGGCAAAAGTAGAATTACAGTTGTTCATATGGGAAATAATACAATAATTAATAAATAATAATACAAACAAACTCTGTATTTTGCATACTCACAACTGTAAACCTACTTTTGCCCCACCCTTTATATAGATGTCCATTGTTCTAGCATCATTGAAAAAAAACTATGCTTTGTTCACAAAGTTACCTTGCATTTTTGTTGAAAATCAATTGACTAAAAAGTGAAGGTATATTTCTAGACACTTTATTCTATTCCATTGATCTATTTGTCTATCTTTATGCCAATTACACATATTTCAATTGAATTTATAGGGGTGACATTGGTTAATAAAATTATGTGTTTCATTTGTACAATTGTATAATACATCATCTGTATATTATATTGTGTGTTCACTGCCCGATTTGTCTCCTTCCATCACTATTTATCCCCCATTTACTCTCTTCTAACTCTCCCCACCCCTTTTCCCTCTGTTTATCACCATACTGTTGTCTGAGACTATGAGGTTTTTTTCCTTGATCCCTTTATGTTTTTCACACAGGTCCCCAACCCCCCTCATCTCTGACAGATGTCAATCTGTTTTCTATCTGTGAATCTGTTTCTGTTTTGTTTGTTAGTTTATTTTGTTCATTATATTCCACATACGAATGAAATCATATGGTACTTGTCTTTCTATGACTGGCTTATTTCAATAGCATAATACCCTTCAGGTCTATGCATGCAGTTGCAAAAGATAAGATTTCATTCTTTTTAAGGCCTAGAAGTATTCCATTGTGTAAATGTACCACAGCTTTTTTATCTACTCATCCACTGATGGGCACTTGGGTTTGTTTCCAGATCTTGTCTATTGTAAAATTCCATTGCAGTGAACATATGGGTCCATATATTCTTTCAAATTAAAGTTACGGGTTTCCTGTGATAAATTCCCAGAAGTGGAATTACTGGTTCATAAAGCAGCTCCATTTTAAATTTTCTGAAGAAACTCCATACTGTTTTCCACAATGGCTGCACCAATCTGCGTTCCCACCAAGAGTGCACAAGAGTTCCCTTTTCTCCACATCCTCACCAAAATTTGTTTTTTGTTCATTATTGATGATAGCCATGCTGACAGGTGTAAGGTAATATTTTATTGTGGTTTTAATTTGCATCTCTCTAATGATTAGTGATGTTGAGCATCTTTTCAGATGGCTATTGTCCATCTCTATGTCTTCTTTGGAGGAGTCTCTGTTCAGGTCCTTTGCCCATTTTTTAATTTGATTGTCTTCCTGGTATTGAATTTTGTAAGTTCTTTATATATATTGGAAACTAACATCTTATCAGATGTATCACTGGCAAATATGTTTTCCCATTCAGTGGGTTCCCTTTTCATTTTTTTGATAGGTTCTTTTCCTGCTCAGAAGCTTTTTATTTGATGTAGTCCCATTATTATTTTTTCCTGTGTTTCCCTTGCCTGAGGAGGTTATTGGAAAAATATTGCTACTAGTAATGTCTGAAATTTTACTGCCTGTTTTTTTTCTAGCAGTTTTATGGTTTCAAATCTTACATTTAAATATTTAATCCATTTTGAGTTTATACTTGTGTATGGTGTAAGAAGGTAATCTAGTTTTTTGGTTTGTTTGTTTTTTGCACATTTCTGTCCAATTTTTCCAACACCATTTATTGAATTGACTATCTTTACCCTATTGTACTTTCTGGCCTCCTTTGTCACTATTATTTGACCATAAAGAAGTGGGTTTAATCCCATATTCTCTATTCTGTTTCATTTATCTACATATCTGTTTTTATGCCAGTACAATGCTGTTTTTGATTACTGCAGCCTTGTAGTATAGTTTGAATAGTGAGTAGCATGATTCTTCCAACTTTGTTCTTCATTCTCAAGATTGCTATGGCTATTTGGGGTCTTTTGAGGTTCCATATACATTTTTGGAAGACTTGTTCTAGTTTTATGAAATATGCCATTGATATATTGATAGGAATTGCATTGAATCTGTAGATTGCTTTGACTAGTATGGACATTCAATGATATTAATTTTTCCTATCCATGGACACAGTATATACTCCCACTTATTTTTATCTTCTTCAATTTCTTTCTTCAGTGTCTTATAATTTTATGTGTACAGATCTTTTATATACTTGCTTAAATTTATTCCTAGGTATTTTTTTGAAGCAATTGTGAAAGGGAATGCCTTCTTAGTTTCCCTTTCTGATAATTTGTTACTGTTGTATAAAAATACAACTGATTTCTGGATATTTATTTTGTATCTGGCTACTTTACTGAATTTTTAAATTAGTTCTAGTAGTTTTTTGGTGGAATCTTTAGGGTTCTTAATGTACAGTATCATGTTACATTCAAATAATGAATGAGAGTTTCACTTCCTCATTTCCAATTTGGATGCTTTTTATTTTTACTTCTTGTCTGATTGCTGTGGCTCGGACTTCCAGTGCTATGTTGAATAAGAGTGGAGAAAGCGGCGGACATCTTTGTCTTGTTCCTGACCTTAAGGGAAACAGTTAATTTTTGCCCGTTGAGTAAGATAATGGCTGTGGGATTGTCATATGTATATTCCTTTTTCCCACTTTGCTGAGAGCTTTTATCATAAATGGGTGCTAGATTTTATCATTTTTTTTCTCTGCATCCATTGATATTATCATGTGAGTTTTAGCCTTCATTTTGTTCATGTGGTGTATCATTGATTTGTGGATATTGTACCACCTTGCATCCCAGAAATAATCCTACCTGATCATGCTGTATATATATTTTTTAATGTATTACTGGATCCAGTTTGCTAATAGTTTGTAGAGGATTTTAATACCTATGTTTTATCAGGAATATTGGCCTGTACTTTTCTTTCTTTGTAGTGTCTTTATCTGGTTTTGGAATTAGGCTAATGCTGGCCTCATACAGGACCTTGGAAGTGTTCCTTTCTCTTGGATTTTTTGGAATAGTTTGAGGAGGATAGGTGCTAGTTCTTCTTTGAATGCTTGGTAAAACTCCCCTGTGAAGCCATCCAGGCCTGGACTTTTGTTTGCTGGGAGTTTTTCTATTACTGCTTCAATTTCATCAGTTGTTATTGCCCCATTCAGGTTCTCTGATTCTTCCTGATTCAGCTCTGGAAGATTGTATTTTTCTAGGAATTTGTCCATTTCCTCCACATTGTCCACTTTGTTGGCATGTAGTTGTTCATAGTATTTTCTTACAATCCTATGTATTTCTATGGTGTTAGTTGTTGCTTCACCTCTTTCATGTCTGATTTTATTTGTGTCCTCTTTTTATCATGATGAGTGTGGTTAAAGGTTTGTCAATCTGCTTT